ACAAAGAGCCTCATTAGCAGCATCTCTTCAATGGCCAAGGTGTTGAATTGCTTTAGAAGGTGATTATCAACATATATATAGTAGCTCTAAAAATGAGCTCTCTAGGGATCAATTATGATTTTTTTTTTTTTGAAAACGAGGTATATAGTTCCGTTTTGTAGGTCAAATGTTATTATGGATTACGAATGATGAGATTCATGAGAATCCGTGGAGTTTGGACTCCTGTTACTCAATGTACACAAAACAAACGTATAGCAGGGAAAATGTTCAATCTCCTTGTAAATGTCAGAGAAGGAAAGTGGAAGGCAACTGCAAGTCTGCAAGGAAGCGTCCTCAATCGAACTTTCACATGGTACTTGCTGTTCTTGTTCATTTTCTGTTCATAATTTGCATGTTTTTCTCTTCCAGTGATTCCATCTTGATATATGCCACATAACTACAATGTTTCTTCAATCCTTCATATGGATTCATATGTACATAATTAAACTTTTATGCTCCATTATTTTTTGCACTTATCCAATGCTTCCCTGTTAAATCAGAGGTACCTTGGACAAATTAAATTATCACCTAGCATCATTTTTTTTTCCCTTCTTGTATCAGAATGGGATGGTTGCTGTGACCAAGCGAAGATAGAGGTTCAAATCAGGAGATTTAAGCATCTTCAGCCTTGCATTAGGACTTAATTGGGAGACACACATCCTGTCATTTTGTTTAGTTGCCATTACATTGTGGATTGAACATTAAAAAATTGTTTTGTGTTGTTAAATTAAGAGGCTTGAATGCTGCTGTTGAAAATAAAATCACTATTGTTTTGAAGTCATCCGATCCTTTTTATTGCTTCATAGTGCTGGTGAGGACTAACTGGCATGCACCAATACCACGTTATTGAATTTTTGGATGGACTAAGAAGGGATTGGTTTGTCTTAAAGCTGGGACAAGGAAGATATTGTTTGTGCCGTTACTGAATTGATTTATTTCAAGTTTCAATTGCTGAAATTAGTTTTGCTTAAACTGCTGCATCGGTTGCGTTGGCCTCGTGAGCTGTGACTTGTTTTTAGATTCATGATTGTCTGAATTGATTAGGATTGATTAGGGGTTTTTCTATCATGTGACATAAATATTTTTAAAAAAATGATTTAAATATAATTTTACATTTTATTTAAATGATTAGTTATTTTTATTTATTTGAAATTTGTAATATTGAGTTAATTCGCTCATTTAATAAATAAAAATTATAGAAAAAAAAAGTTCTAAAAAAGTGTTTATTTACTCATTTGAAAAAATTACAATCATTATTTATTCAAAATATAAGATGAGATAAAATATTTAAAACAGATATGTGTAAAAATTAAGATTCGAAAGTTCAATTAAAAGTAAAGTAGGGTATATTTGTATCTCACAATCCTCTCTGTAAAATGTGGTTAAATATCTTTAAATTGGGAGTTTTAATTCAACCTTTTTATTCTTTAAATCTTAATTAAGTAACTTTCAAAAGGAAAAGGATAAAATTATAATTTTTGAAAACCTTTGGACTCAATTGAACGAAATAGGAAACAAGCCAACCCTCCAAAATCACAACAAATTAAAAATTGAGAGATTAATTAAAGGAAATTCAAAAACATGGAGGATAAATTTGAAATAACTTAAAGTTTTAGGACGAAATTGCTTGACCACAGAAAGTTTTAGGCAAAATTGAAATATGAGGTGAAAACTAGTTGGCTTTCAAACCTTTGACAGTGATTAAATAAGATTAAGACTAATTAATCAAAATAATTGATTTAATTGAATGGTTAATTATTAATTCATTAAAATTAATTAAAATAATTAATTACTTTTATTCTAATAAAAGAAAAAATGAAGTCTTGACATTTTGAATATTTAATGCCTATAATTAAAACAGTTTGATTTTTCCTTTTTTATTAGAATAAATAAATGAATTTAATTACCTCAATTAAAACTAATTAATGTAATCAAATGGTTTTAATTAAAATTAATTAATCACCCTTTTAATCAATTATTAAGATTTTATATTACTTTTTTTTTTTACTTCTTATTGGGCCGACCCACAAGACTACTGCAGTCTTAATGGGCTAGGCCCAATTCCCCTTTTTGTGTTTTTCTTTTATTAAGATATTTAATTTAAAAGGCCCCTGGGCCATGACCCATTTCTTATCTTATTTTTTTAGCCTTTTTTGGTCCTTAACACATAAATTTATTAGGTCGGGTTCCACAAACACGACCCATATACCTAAACGGGTAAAAATAGATCAAAACCTAGATTGAAATTCGGAACTTAGGGTCTATACTGCTCGTCCAAATTTTACCAGAAAAGACCTTAAATACTTTCATCAATCCATTACCGGATCCATGACCTCAACAAAACAGAATAAAAATAAGCCAAGAAAACATTCTCAATTCTCATTCACAATGACATCAATTCATATAGATCCATCCAAGCAACCCAAGAAATACAAAGAAAAGATCAAAATCACTGGCGGAGTTTGGAGCGGAAGATCAGAGTCCGATCTGGGATACCCTACCCACGGGATAGCCCCCAGATCCTTCTCCTCACTACCTCTTCATGATTCCTCTATTCCTCACTACCTCTCCATGATTCCTCTGCGCTCGAGTAGATCTTACTCGCACGACGCGCGCCGGGGAGGCATCCTTTTGGACATCAGATCCGCCATTCATGTCATCATTTTTCAGTGCCTCGGTTCTCCGGGATAAATTTTTGGAGGTTCAGCGCGGCTCTAGGTCAAGAGAAAGTTTTGAGAGCCAACCCATGAGAGTTGCTCGCACACCATTCTCTTGATCAATCACATGACGATCAAGATTTAGAACTTCTGATGAATAGGTACATTCAGGGAGTACCAAGATGAAAAATTGTTATCTCTTGTAACGCAATTAAAAATTAATCAACCAAATTAAGAAAAAAATTTGTGAAATATGCATTGATCTTAGATGATGTGCGAGATAAATTTACTCTTACAAGAGTTGGAATCCCAGAACCAACAATTGAAAATGGGTGCAAAATTGTTATTACTAGCAGATCAGTTGATGTCTGCAACTACTTGAGATGTCAAATGGTTAAGGTGCCACCTCTGACAGAGCAAGAGTCTTTGAACTTGTTTTTACATGAGGTTGGGTTAGATGTTTTAGAAATTCCTCATTTAGAAGAGATATTGAAGCTTATGGTGGATAGATGTGCTGGTTTGTCATTGGCCATTGTTGTCATTGCTGGTAGAATGAGAGGAGTAAATGATATTTGTGTGTGGAGAAATGCATTACTTGAGTTGCGTCAATAATAATATGGGAAGAAGAGGAAGGAAATCAAAACAACTACTACAATATTCACTCTTCCAAAATTAAGGGAATTGTATTTGAATTGTTTACTAGAATTGAAGAGAATTTGCCCTGAAAATGAAGTAATGGTTTGTGACTCTCAATTCCATTACCTTGGAAGGATGATTCTTATTTATGTTTTTGGCAACGGGCAACTATCTCTTTCCCTGCCCTCTTAAGAAATTAGAATAAAAGCAGTCGTAGAATGGTGAAAATAGGTGAAGTGGGACAATACCGAAGCTGAGAATATTCTCCTACCTTTCGGCAAATGCTCTATGATATATTTTCATTTATTTTTCTT